CTTACAGACCTCTTGGGAATGGGGTGAGGTCAATAGTGGATAGCTTAATGTTAAAGGAGTGGGGGTTAGAGGATGTAACAACAGAGTCAAGTTGCGCCACTGGAAGCTTTCAACAAGAAACTGGACAACCATCTGTCAGAACAACAGAATAATAGAATTGGAAAGGACCTTGTATCTATGGAGATTCTCAATCATCCAGGTCATGGTTGCCCAAAGTGGCTTTTTTCAAGAGGCAACTGGACTTTTTGGTTTTATTTATTATTATTTTCTTTGAAGAGTGATGAGAAGCAAAAAATCTTCAAAGAAAAGTAAACAAAACCAGAAAGTCCAGTTGCCTCTTGAAAAAGCCCCTTTGGGGGCAAGGGACCTTGTAGGTCATCTAGTCCAACCCCCTGCACAAGCAGGAGACCGTGCACCATTTCTGACAGGTGGCTGTCCAGTCTCTTCTTGAAAGCCTCCAGTGATGGAAGCACCCACAAGCTGTTCCATTGGTTGATTGTTCTGTCAGAAAATTTGTCCTTATCTATAGGTTGAATCTCTCCCTTGATCAGTTTCCAAACATTATTCCTCGCCTGGCTTTCAGATGCTTTGGAAAATAGGTTGACCCACTCCTCTTGGTGACAGAAATGGTACAGGGTCTCCTACCTGAGCAGGGGGTTGGACTAGATGACCTACGAGGTCCCCCGCAACACTGTTATTCTGCTGTGGCTATCTCTGGTTTGAATCACAGAGGTTAATCTCCATTTATCTAAGTTTCCTTGTATTTTCTCAGGTACATGGCGATAGCGATCTTCCTTCCCCTTTTGTTGCAAAAAAGGCAGCATCTATCCCAGTTATCTGCTATGGCTTTTGAATTGAAGCAAGAGATCAAATATAGGCTAAGACCCCACCACAAAATGCAAGCAGAACTGTTGGTTGCCAACAGGATAAGTCAACGGGGAAAGCTGCATTTGCGTTAGAGACTGTGATTGGCTTAACAAATTGAGCCAAAATGATCGTAACATTGGGCAATACTCACATAGCAACCTTACTTAGCAGTCACCTTGCTTAGCAACAGAAGCTCCAGTCCCAATTGGGTTCCTAAGTCGAGGACTATCTGTAAATAAAACTGCAAACAAGGCCTTTTATATTTCACATTCCACCTGATTGTATGTTGTACTTGGCCCAAGTACCAAAGGCATCCTAACCTGGTGGCTTCCTCAGCAAAGGGACAGGAGAGTTGTGTTCGACATTGCAACGCAGTAGGCAATTCAGCTAGAACCGGTGATGTCAAACCTTTTTGGCAGTAAGTGCCCAAAGTGCGCATGTGCACGCGCATACACAAAATGCAACACATGCATGCTCACCCGCACATCCCTGCCCCTCGTACATGCATGGCAGAGACCTGAAGACTAGCTGGCCTGCGGCAGGCATGCGCACATGCGTGGCAGAGCTGAGCTGGGGTGACGGCGCACATGCCCACAGAGGGGGCTCTGGGTGCCACCTGTGCCACAGATTCACTACCACTGAACTAGATTATGTTATTGGGAGAGGTCTCAGGAAGCTGGGAGAGATGCTCTCAACTTACAAATAATGCCAGATATTTGGGAAACGGCTTCTGCTTTGTAAACTTTGGCTAGTTGGGAATTGATAAAGGGAAGGGATTTGAATCTGAAAGAGATTCAGCTGTTTTGTATAAAGCGGAATGTAGAATAGAAGCAGAAATTGAGTAAGAATAGAATAAGAATTGGAAAAGACCACAGAGGTCTTCTAGTCCAACCCCTTGCTTAGGCAGGAAACCCTATACCCATGATGGTGAGCCTATGGCACAGGTGGCACACACAGCCATTTGTGCCAGCACGCGAGCCGCAGACAAACTTATCTCAATGCACATGCGCGCGCACCTCCCAGCTGATTTTCGGCTGGTTTGAGGCCTTTTTCGGCCTCCCAGAGGCTTGAAGGAAGCCTCTGCAGCCTGAAAAATAGACCGATTTCATCACTTCCTGTATTTCCGGAAATACGAGAAGTGATGAAACGGGCCTATTTTACAGGCTTTCGTCAAGCCTCTGGGAGGCCGAAAAAGGCCTTAAACCAGCCGAAAATCAGCTGGGAGGCACAGTGCAGATAAGAGGACGGCATGAGAGGGCGCGCATTGCCTTCTGGGTGCTGGCACACAAGCGCCCACACAATTTTTGGCATAGGAGCCCAAAAAGGTTAGCCACCATATACCATTTCAAACAAATGTTCTTTCTTTTTGAAAGCCTTCACTGTTGGAGCCCCTACAACTTTTGAAGGCGAGTTGTTCCACGGATTGTTCTGCCAGGACATTTCTTTAGTTCTAGGTTGCTTCTCTCCTGGATTAGACTTTTGAAAAAAAGAAACATCGAAAGATAACATCTTTATTCAGCGAGTTACATGGTGACAACAAAACCAGGGCTTGGAACCAGCACGGTGTTTTCTTCAACCCAAGACAGCAAGGAAAAAGTAAATACAACATCAACAGCCCTTGTACTGAGCAGTCCGTACAACAAGGATAAGTATGAATGTTATGCAAATCGTTCTCTCTTGCTGAGCTCATTGTTCATCAACTGTTCTCAGTAATGATGCTGAAAAAGGACATTTACAACCAGTTCTTGTTTCTTGTGGTCAAATGCAGCCAGCTTTACAGAACCAAAGTCAATGGGAAGCTGGCAGTAAATCAAACATTATGATCATATGAGGTCACACTTAATCCACCTTTATTTGCTTAACCACCCCAGTGGAATGACTGACATTAGTCCAACACAGACACGATACTGTCGTGATGGTGATGGTGTTGTTTAGTGCTGGAGTTGACAGTTCCAAATTGGGATAATTGCAGACTACCTATAGCAGGGGTGGGCAAACTTTTTGGCTCGGAGGTCTCGTTGACTTTTAAAATTTGACAGACGGGCCGCCACCTGGTGTCGAAATGCCTGTCATTACAAGTCAAAATCAAATGAATGCAATCATTCAATCATTCACATCAAACCTTAATTCTGTACCAATCTTCGGCGGGCTGTATTAAAAAGACCAACGGCCGGATGTAGCCCCTGGGCCGTAGTTTGCCCACCCCTGGCCTATAGTCTCCTAAATTTTTGTCACACAATTCATTTAGGTAGTTCTATTACTTTCTATCCATTTCTCTTGAGTTAATTTTCCTATGTCCAGAAGAGGAGTGAGATTGAGCAAATCCCTTTGTCTATGGAAATTCTCAGTCATCCAAGTCATGGTTATCCCAAAGGGGCTTTTTTTGAAGAAGAGACTGAACTTTGTTGTTTTTCTTTCTTTGAAGACATTTCGCTTCTCATCCAAGAAGCTTCTTCAGAGCTGAAGCTTCTTGGATGAGAAACAAAGTGTGATATGTAAAATTATACCTGTGAAAATATAAAGCAATGGTAATGCAATTTTTAACCTCTGTGTTAACCTAAGATAATTTACTGGAATATTATGTAAGAATTCTCAATTATTTTGTTTAAAGGTTACATATTTGGCAGGTTACACTGTCCAGTGTCATGTTAATGATGGACATTATTGGAAATGGAAACGGGTAAACAGGACGAGGAAGCAGATGTTAAGCTACAAAACTAGGGGTGCTATGTAGCTAGATACGTAGCTGGATAGATTGTGAACCCAGGAAAGGGGCAGAGACTGTATATTTGAACCTGTATATAAACCCCAGCCTTTCTGGGAACCACGTCTTCTGCCCAAGGGCAGAATTCTCTTTTGCAAAAGCTTCATAATAAAGCTCTTATATAAATTGTTCACAGGTCTTCAGTATCTTCTGAATGGTTGATTTTTTTTTTTCACATGAAACGTCTTCAAAGAAAAATAACAAAGCCCCGTTGCCTCTTGAAAAAAGCACCTGTGGGACAGCAAATCCCTTTCCACACATCATACATTTATAATTTCTCACCAATGTGGCTTCTCTTGTGACAACTGCTTGTTCTGAACTTCTTTCCACGCTCCAGCCATTTATAGGGATTCTCTCCGGTATGGATGCCTTTGTGAGAAAGAACAATTCTGCTATCGCAGAAACTCTTTCCACAAATTACCACACTTAGATGGTTTCTCTCTGTGTAAAGTATCAAAAGTAGATCGGGTGCTATTACTATAGCCATTTCCACATTCCGTACGTCTCTATGGTTTTGTAATAGGATCATACGGAGCTTCTGCTGTTACAGGAACTCTTTCCACGGTCTACACGCGTAACTGATTTCTCCCCTGAGTGAATCTTTCTATGGGTATTAAGTGCACTAATTTGTCGGAAGCATTTTCCACACTCACTACATTTATATGGTTTCTCCCCCGTGTGGATCCTCTTGTGACGACTGAGGTGACTGCTGGTTATGAAACTCTTTTCACATTCCATGCACTTATACGGTTTCTCCCCTGTGTGGATTCTTTTGTGGGAAATCAGGGAACTTGAATTAGTGAAGCATTTTCCACACTCGGGGCATTTATATCGTTTTTCCCCTGTATGGATCCTTTTGTGGGAAATAAGGGAACCTGAATTAGAGAAGCATTTTTCACATTCATCGCATCTGTATGCTTTTTCCCCTGTGTGAGTCCTCTTGTGGTGACTAAGGGTGCTGCTGCTTATGAAACCTTTTCCGCACTCCCTGCATTTATACGGTTTCTCCCCGGTGTGGATCCTTTTATGGGAAGTAAGATTGATACTCTTGCGGAAGCTCTTTCCACACTCGGTGCATTGATATGGTTTCTCCCCAGTGTGGATTCTGTTATGTACAGTATAATTATATTTTTGACTGAAGTTCTTTCCACATTCCCTGCATTCGTATGGTTTCTCCCCAGTGTGGATCCTTTTATGGGACGTGAGAGAACCTGAATAAGCGAAGCACTTTCCGCACTCTGTGCATTTATATGGTTTCTCCTCAGTGTGGAACCTTTTATGGGAAGTCAGAAAACTTGAACCGATGAAACACTTTCCACAATCCTGGCATTGATATGGCTTTTCCCCACTATGGATCCTTTTATGGGAAGTGAGGGACCCTGGCATAGTAAAACATTTTCCACACTCCTGACATTTATATGGTTTCTCCCCTGTGTGAATCCTTGTATGATAAGTTAGATGTTTTACAGAACGGAAGCTCTTTCCACACTCCTGGCATTTATATGGTTTCTCCCCTGTGTGGATCCTTTTATGATAAGTAAGGTGTTTTGCAGAACGGAAGCTCTTTCCACACTCCACACACTTATATGGTTTCTCTCCTGTGTGGATCCTGTTATGAGCAATAAGGTCTTGAGCGTCGTTGAAGCTCTTTCCACACTCCTGGCATTTATATGGTTTCTCCCCAGTGTGGATCCTTTTATGGGAAATAAGATGTTTTGCAGAACGGAAACTTTTTTCACACTCCGGACATTTATACGGTTTCTCCCCGGTGTGGATTCTGTTATGAACAGTATAATGATATTTTTGCCTAAAGTTCTTTCCGCAGTTCTTGCAGTGATATGGTTTCTCCCCGGTGTGGATTCTTTTATGGCATTTGAGGGAACCTGAATTGGTGAAGCACTTTCCGCACTCTGTACATTTATGTGGTTTCTCCTCGGTGTGGAACCTTTTATGAGAAGCAAGGAAACCTGAGGATCTGAAACTCTTCCCACATTCCTGGCATTGATATGGCTTTTCTCCAGTATGGATTCTTTCATGAGAAGTGAGGGAACCTGACATAGTGAAGCATTTTCCACACTCCTGGCATTTATATGGTTTCTCTCCGGTGTGGATCCTTTTATGGTAAATGAGGGAACCTGAGAGAGTGAAGCGTTTCCCACAGTCCTGGCATTCATATGGTTTCTCCCCGGTGTGACTCCTATTGTGGGAAGTTAGGCTTGTGGCAAAATGGAAGCTCTTTCCGCATTCCTTGCATTCATATGGTTTCTCTCCTGTGTGGATCCTTCTATGGGATGTAAGATAACTTGAGTCTCTGAAGCTCTTTCCACACTCTAAGCATTTATATGGTTTTTCTCCAACTTGTATTCCCTGACTTAAGATAAGAGGAATAGTCCTTCTGACGCGTTTCCTGCTTTCATTTTGTTTTTCTACAGTGCGGCTACTGGAACAGTCACATAATCCTGATTCACCTCTGAGAATTTTTCCACATGATGGACACACTCTTTTTCCTTGGGCATCTTCTTCAGCCAAGAAGACACTAATATTGGCACACTGAAAAGGAAAGCATTTCTCCAGCCCCCTTTTTAATTGGTTTTCCTCAGAACTTTCCTTTCCAAACATCCTTTCCATAACTTCCCTTTTCTCTCTTGGAAAAGGTGCTGCTGCCTCTTGCCTCTTACCTTCCACCTGCCATTCACCACCTGTTTGGAAAGGAAAAAAAAAGAAAGTTGACACGAACTGAGGTGTGAAAGTGATCGAGCACCATTTTTCCATCCCTTATTTGAATACAGCAGAACCTCTGGTCACAAACGCTTCTGACCATGAACAAATTGGGTTCCGACCAAACAATTCACAAAATTTTTGAATCTGGTCACTAACACATACTCGGGTGGCAATCAAACACGACCCCTGACCCAGAAATTCCTGAAAACGAAACATTAGACGACGAAGGAATCGCCAAAGTTATGGAACGAATTATGGTCGTGACCAGAGGTTCTACTGTATTATCAAATGTTTGAATATTATCAAGGAATGGATATATCAAAATAAAATCTCAAAATTGATAGAGGAGAGCTAGAATGCATGGGGAAAAAAATCACTTTCTTAGGATCGCATATCAAAGTAGTGAACGCCGCCCAGAAATAAAACGCTGGATTGCTCTGTGTCACATAGCAGTGATGAACATGAGCCAAATATGAATAAAAAAGACATCTACCTGGCAACCAAATGTATGTTAGTCCATTCTATTATGTTCCCCTAATTACTTAGAATTGTGAAAGTTGGACCTTATAAAAGCAAGACAGGAAGAAAATTGACTCGTTTGAGCTGTGGTGGTAGAGAAGGCTACTGTCAACTAAAAAAAATACTCCTTTGGTCTTTTTAGTTGCTAGCAGAAAGGGAGTGGGGGAAAGCAGTGCATTTCTTAAATGCCTCAGATAATCACCTTGGTAGCCCAAAGCTGTCGGCATGCAAGAATATTACTGGAGAGCATGATTGATGACTCTTGGCTATGGATGTGTCCCATTGGAAAATATACATCCAGGGGGGTGGGAGGAAGACCAGGATCAAGGGGGAAACGAATGATGTATTTTAGTGTCAGCTGCACCCAGCCAACGCCAATATGGCCACTCCTAATAAATCAATTTTTTTTTTACTCTGAGAGATGTGGCTAGAGACTTATGATTTGAATGGGGGTGGATTTGTTGGAGCCCTGACAGCTACTGCGTAATCCTTGGACACCAAAGACGACTAACAACCAATATTGTAGCACACAACAACAGAAAGGTCGCTGGAAAAGGCAAAAATCACAAAACTGTGCCTCACTTATTTTTTCCATGTCACGTGGGGAATCCACTGGAGAAAGGACTTATATTTGGAAGAGTTAGTGGTAAAAGGAAATCAGGCCACCAAAGAACATGGTGGCTGACACCACCTGACAACAGCCAGAGCATAGAACAACTCAACAGAAGTAGCGCAAGATTGGAAGATGTGAAGACACCCGAACATAGAATCACCAAGAGTCCGACATGACTGAATGGATATCATCATCATCATCATGGAAGAACATATTGGTTTAATTTTCATCTGAAAAAGGGGAAGTGCTGGGAAAACCTGGACCTGAGCTTTAGCCTTCTTTCCATGAGTAAGTTCTCCTTTGATTTTTTGGGGAAAAAAGAGGCTCTTGGGGGTATTCTCATTCATCTTAAGTTAACTTAAGAAAAGGAAGCATTGAAGAAAGTGATAGCCCCATCAGAGAGCCTAACAGTCACATCCTTGTGTGATTGACTGGGTTTCCAAATGCCATCCATCCAGACAGAAAACTTCAGAGGTCTTCTAGTCCAACCCCCTGCCTAGGCAGGAAACCCTACACTACTTCAGACAAATAGCTATCCAATCTCTTCTTAAAAACTTCCAGTGCTGGAGCATTTACAATGTCTGGAGGCAAGTTATTCCACTGATTAATTGTTCTCACTGTCAGGAAATTTCTCCTTAGTTCTAAGTTGCTTCTCTCCTTGATTAGTTTCCACCCGTTGCTTCTTGTCCTGCCCTCAGGTGCTTTGGAGAATAGGTTGACTCCCTCTTCTTTGGGGCAGCTCCTGAGATACTGGAACACTGCTATCTAGTTTTTTCTTTTCGTTAGAGTAGACATACCCAGTTCCTGCAACCGTTCTTCACGTGTTTTAGCCCCAACTCCCCTAAGTTGCCCTTCTCTGCACTCTTTCTAGAGTCTCAACATCTTTTTTTTACATTGTGGCGACCAAAAAAGAGGAAGAGAGAACTTAAATTTATCCACAAAGTGGGACAGATAGGATTGGAAACTGCACGAGAGGGCTCCTCGCCTCTTTCTGGAGAGACCACAAAGGTTTTAAGCTCATCTGTTAACCAAATAGGAGTAGAAAGGCAGACAAGGACACTTTCTTCTACTGTAGGAAAAGAAGAGGGCAGCATTTTCTCTGAGAAAGAAATCATCTGTTTATGTCTGGCTAGAAAATACTTTCCACCACAATTTCAGTTCAGAAAAACAGAATCCCTTACTTAGACAGGCAACGTTCCTTGCATTTTCCAACATGACTTCTCGATACAGGGTTTTTTGCTCCAAGTCCAACAGGGCCCATTCCCCCATGGAGAAAAACACAGCTACATCTTCAAAAGAAATGGAATTCTGAAACGAAAACAAGCATGTTGTACGCACTCTCTTATTAAGGAACAATGCAAATTTTCTTTTTTATGATCGCTTTCAAGTAGGATGAATAACTTCACTGGAGAAAATGGGCAGAGCTACAGGCCTTTGACTGGAAATATGCCTGTGATAGACTTTTGCAATTTTGGCTCATTCTACAGGAATGAATTCCTTCTCTGTCAACTGATGTCCTGCCTAACATTTCAGAAACTGCTTTCATGTTGCCCCTCAATACAATCTTACTGAAATGATATATGTGAAGATTTTGGGAGAAGTACTCCGGAAAATACCATCTGATGCTAAGATGGCATCTGTTTGCAGATAACATGAGTGGAAATTTTAAAAAGAAAAATAATTACTGTGAGGCCACTGCAGTTTATTGACATATATATTGATATATATCAAGGCACTCTGTCTGAGAGAATATCCCAAGAGGAGTTTTGAGTAAATATCCGTGTTTATTTCAAACTAGTTCACGTTGAATTTTATAATAAGACCCTTTTTGAATCATAAGCAATCATGTGAAACTATATGTAACCTTGTTCTTCGCATCCTCCATGTGGGAAAGCTATATTTCAGGAGGAAATATTTGGCAATGCGAAGCTGTCTTGTTCCAAAATTGGTCCTGCATGGAACATAACCGCAGTCTATATAATGTGTAGCAGTATAGCTTGTTGTACATCCTTCCACGAGGTCCAAGGACACAGATAAAATATGATCAAAGCACTTTGTTATAATGAGGACTGAGAAGAATAAAATGAAATATACTATTGCAGAACTACTATATTTAAGAATAAAGATGAATCTTGTCCCTCATACCCTCAGACCCCTCATATCCTGGACATAGACTGTTTCAGCTCCTACCCTCAAAACAATGCTATAGATCAGGGGTCCCCAACCACCGGGCCACGGACTGGTACCGATCCGTGGAACATTTCCTACTGGGCCGCCGGTTTGCTGGGCGCCGCCATCTTGTTTGACGAGAAAGTGCTTCCGGGTGAGCTTTTCCGGTTGGAAAGCGGCGTTTGGGTCCTGAAAGAATCCTCATGCCTTAGTTTCATCGAAGGGGGGGTTTCGAACGAAACTAAGGCGCGAGGATTCTTTCAGTCCCGAAGGCAAGGCGAGCCGAGCGACCGTCCCGAAGCAGTCCCGAAGTGAAGCCCATCGACAAAGGTACAAAGGAGGAGTTGAAGGTGGCGGGGAGAAGCGGGGGACGGCTGGCCGGCCGATTGCTCGGCTCGCCTTGCCTTGTCATGCGTGCTGATGCCGGTACCGGGCCGCGGATCATTTTGTGATGCCGGTACCGGGCTGTGGCACAAAAAAGGTTGGGGGCCACTGCTATAGATCAGAGATCACCAACCTTTTGGACCTCGGGGACCACCAAACTCATAATTTTAAATCCCACAGACCACTAATATGAATTTTGTCTGATGGTGGCTTGCTGACGTTGGTGGAAGAGTCGGTCCCATATTCCAGAGCTGCAGTAGTCACAGGACTGGCCCTTTGGTTATCTTGGAGCAGCTGCTCTGCCACCTGGGTGCACCGGCCTGCCATGGACTGGAGGAGCTGCTCCGGGATGACCAAAGGGCCAGTCCTGTGACTCCTGCAGCTCTGGAATATGGGACCGACTTTCCCACCAATGTCAGCAAGCCACCCTGGGGAGGATTTCCCTCCCCCGCCATTGGTCTTATCTTCCAGTTCCAGCTCGCGTGGCTCTACTGAAGGTAAGGTTTACGCTCAGCCGAAGGGTGAGGGCCAGCGGGTAGGTGGGCCATGTGGGTAGCGCAGCCTTGTGTTCCTGCGCAGCCTGGATTAATTGCTTTAGGGGGAGTACTTTGGGAGGGACATTTATCTGCAGACCACCAAAATTTTCTCGCAGACCACCAGTGGTCCCCAGCCCACCAGTTGGTAACCACAGCCGTAGAATAACACCAGAATAACTAGACACAAGGACAGTTTTTTCCCCAAACGCCATCACTCTGCTAAACAAATAATTCCCTCAACACTGTACAACTATTTACAAAGTCTGCACTACTATTACTATTAATCTTCTCATCACTCCTTATCACCAATCCCCTCCCACTTGTGAGTGTAGGACTGTAACTTTTTCGCTTGTATCCTTACGATTTATATTGACTGTTTCCTAGTATGATTTGATTGCTTATTGTACCCTATGACTATTATTAAGTGTTGTACCTTATCCTGATGAATGTATCTTTTCTTTTATGTACATTGAGATCATATGCATCAAGACAAATTCCTTGTGTGTCCAATTGCACTTGGCCAATAAAGAATTCCATTCTATTCTATTTTCACAGATCAAAGCAGAGTTCAAGGAATTATGGAGTTGGCAGGTGACTAGAAAAAGAATGGTTGGCTACCTACTATAAAATATAAGCTGGAAATTTTCCTTGTGTGTCCTCTTAAGCTGAACACCTTGACATATGCCAGTAAACCACAGTAAACCTCATTCAAACGATCATCCTAATTTCTTCCTAGTTTTCACTTCCACAACTCCATGAAATGTATTTCCACAATACTTAGCCTATGTTCTTCGAAACTACTTGAAACAATAATATTACATGGTCACACATTGCAGATACCCTAATTATATTACCAAGTACATTCTACTCAGCAACCAAGGAGGAGCAGAGTGGCTTCAGATTGTAAGATAGTTCCTATTGAAACAATTACCTTCAGAAATACAGCACAATGTGACTTCCTATCAAAGTATAAGGAAGCTGCTCATGAAAACCACACACACACAAACACACACACACACAGACAGAGACTTTGTGGATCATGCTGAATGACACTTGCAGTTTGAGGAAAATATCTTCCTACCTTCCTTGAAAGCATAACTGCTCCTATTCCACCACCACAGACAATAGATGTTCCGGAAGATACCATCGATGTTGTTCTGGTCTCTGAGAATGAGAAAAAAAATAGAAGTGTCAGCTTTGGAAGCCATATTCCACGCTACCACATAACTTGAGAGTGTGGGAGGGGAGTGATTTCAACTGAGTAGCTCTAAGTAGACAAAATAAAATTCTTTTGTTAGTTCAAGTTCATTTAGTATGGCGCAGGATGAAATGAGGATCTTACTTTTGGACAGATCGTGATTGGGCCATGTGGTGTAATGACAACAGAGGAGGGATGGATTTGTAGTTTGGGAAACTGTGGGAAGCCCAAAAACTTTTAGATTCTGCGGGTATGTATGCCAGTTGCTATTCTAATAAAGGTACTTTTGAGATATGGTTGTCTCGGAGTTACTGATTGGAATGGAGGTTTGCTGGAACCTTGACATTAGGAACTATTTGTTATAAAAACATTCTTCCTCAATTCTGGAGCATTAAATTCAGAAAGCCCGTTCTTTGTGTATACTGACTGGGGTGTGTGTGCAGCAGGCAGCAGTGACTTCGAGCTGAGAACAACCCATCTGAGTTGTTGAGATTGATGATGTACCATGACACAGTGGCCCCCAACCTTTTTTGAACAAGGGACCGGTTTCACGATTATTTATTCTTCCACGGACCGGTACCTGAGTAACGCGAGACTCCACCGCCATCGGGACGGCTCTTCGTTCGAAGCTGCCTCCCCTCTTCGACGAAACTAAGGCGTGAGCACCCAAATGCCGCTTTCCAACTGAAAACCCGGAAGCACTTTCCAACCGAAAACCCGGAAGCAACCGAAAACCCGGAAGCGCCGTCGAAACAAGATGGTGGCACCCAAGCTTTGCGGCCTGGTAAAAAATGATCCATGGACCAGTACCGGTCCGGGGACCGGTGGTTGGGGACCCCTGCCGTAACAGGCCAACTTCTTATAGTTCTCTTCTGATTCCCAGGAGGGATCAGGATGCAACCTGGTGGGGAATCTGTGCTGTAAAGCACCGCAGAGAGGTATCTTCAATGACTTCCCACCCCATATCCCATGGAGGTATGCCGACCATGTTCCCTCCATGGCTTTTGGAACAGCTTATTAGAAAGACTGGCTTCTTTTTAATTGCCAGGAGACTTCCTTGAGGGGTGATTGCAGGTGGTCCTCCACTTACAACAGTTCGACTAGTGACCATTCGAAGCATCCCCATAGTCACGTGGTTTACATTCGGATGCTCGGCAACTGACTCACGTTTATGATGGTTACAGTATCCCGGGGTCATGTGATTCTCCTTTTGTAACCTTCCAACAAGCAAAGTAAATGGGGAAACCAGATTCCCTTAACAACTGCATTGATTCACTGAACAAATGTGTCAAGAGAAGTCGTAAAATGGGGCTTAATAAATTTCTCCCTTACCAACATAAATTTGGGGCTCAATTGTGGTCTTCTGTTGAGTGTCAGGATTCCGGTAGTTACCCCAATTACATCATGAGTCTCAAGCCAAACTCCCAAAACTTCCAAGGATTTATTGGAAGTCAAGATGTTGGCATGACCTGGGTTTAGCCGACTCTGAGACACGCAATTCACTGTCACCCTTGACCCTACTTTCCCCCCAACCCCCACCCCTCTGGGTGTATCATAATTCATATTCTCCAATGAAACACGTCCATAGCCAAGAGTCATCAATCATGCTTTCCAATTAGATGTTTGCACAGCAGAAGCTTCAGTCATTTAATCAGTCTCTGAAGAAAATATGAATGGAATGTACTTTCAATCCCACACTGCTGCCTGCTCTTTAAAACTCCCGCCCCATTTCTTTCTGTTGGCAACTTTAAAACGTGTATAGAAAATGTTTTATGAGTTGACATTGAGGACTATGTATAAAACAAAAAATAAATTCACAAATGAAGAATAGGGGTAGGGGTGGAGTAAGATAGGATAGGATAGGATAGCAGAGATGGAAGGGACCTTGAAAGTCTTCTAGTCCAACCTCCTGCTCAGGCAGGAAACCCTACACCATTTCAGACGAAGGTTGTCCAATCTCTTCTTTAAAACTTCCAGTGTTGGAGCATCCATAACTTCTGAAGGCAACCTTGCCCACTGATTAACTGTTCTAACTATCAGGAAATTTTTCCTTAGTTCTACAGTACATTTCTTTCCTTAGTTACTTTCCATCCGTTGCTTCTTGTCCTGCCTTCAGGTGTTTTCCCTCTTCTTTGTGGCAGCCTCTGAGATATCAGAATACTGCTATCATGTCATCCCTAGCCAGTGGTGGGATTCAAAATTTTTTACTACTGATTCTGTTGGTGTGGGTTGGTGGGCGTGGAAGGGGAAGGATACTGTAAAATCCCCATTCCCTCCCCACTCCACTAACCTGCTTTCCAGCTCTCTTCTCCTGTGCAGGGCAACAAAAGACCCAGCCGATCAGCTGGGACTTGGGAGGTATAAAATAAATAGTGGCGGGGCCAGTCAGAGGTGGTATTTGCCAGTTCTGGATAACCGGTAGCAGAAATTGTTAGTAGTTCGGAGAACCAGCAAATACCGCCTCTGACTGGCCATCTATTCTCTGCCTCCTGAGTCCCAGCTGATCGGCTGGGTCTTCTTTGGTTGCCCTGCACAGAAGAACGGAGCTGGAAAGCAGGGGTGGGGAGGGAATGGAGATTTTGCAGTATCCTTCCCCTGCCATGCCCACCAAGCCACGCCACACCCACAGAACCGGTAGTAAAAAAAATTTGAATCCCACCACTGAGGCGGAGCCGGTCAGAGATGGTATTTGTCGGTTCTCCGAATTACTCCAAATTTCCACTACCGGTTCTCCAGAACTGGTCAGAACCTGCTGAATACCAACTCTGGTCCTAGTCCTTCTTTTCATCAAACTTTATATTTCTTTCTATGTTTCAGCCTCCGGTCCCCTAATTCTCTTTGTTGCTCTCCCCGGCACTCTTTCTAGAACCTCAACTACACCGGGGTGACCAAAACCAGGGTGCAGTCTTCCAAGTGTGTGGGTCCCAGTCCAAGGCAGGCAAAGTCCACCCTGAGGATTCAAAAGGGCAATCAGGAAGGAAGCTTTTACCTACTGATCTCTTCTCGGGTGGATCCTCGAGAGGGACCCCCCCCCAAACAACAGCTCCAGGGAGGGATGCTCGCCCTCCTTTCCTCCGAGCAAATTCCGTGGGAATCCTCCGAGCAAATTCCGTGGGAAACGATCGGGAAGAGGGCCAAGCAGAGAGGTCTCCCCTCCAAAAGAGGGGCTGCAGGAACAACCCAAAGGAGTGACCGCAGGAGCGACCCAATAAGAAGCATCCGAAGGTCACATTTCCAAGACTCTCCCCCCCCCCCCCCCCCCGCCCCCAGAACCGCAACCAGGAATGATAGAAAGAAAAAAAAAGGAAAAAGAAAAAAAAGGGGGTGGGGCTTGGGAAGGATTCTCTTGCCTCTGGGATGCCTTTGAAAATTGCAATGAGAGAGTACTTTTCCTAGAGAGGCCCCCTTGGGCAATTCTCCCCCCCTCGCCGTACAGGTCCTCCAAGAGGTTGGGAGGGTTGCCAGTAAAGAGTTTTTCTAAGCGCAAATAGAATGTTTCTTCCTAGAGAGCAATTATACACACAAACACACCCTTCCTCATACAGGTCCTCCAAGAGGATTGCCGGTAAAGGGTTTTTTTTTAAGCGCAAATCTGGGTTGTGCATGTTTATTCCTGTACTGTACAATAATGTATTGTCTTGTATGGATATTGAAACCGATTGGCACTGAGGTAAAGCCCCACCTCCAAAGCTATGAACCTCATTGGGTCGGCTGCATGCCGATCAAAGTCGGATTGGAGTCATTGGCCCATCCAGTAGACGGCGCGGGTTCCCGAGTCGGATGTTTGTTTGGCACTGGAAGAGGGACCCGCCGCCTTCCCTGCTTTCTCTTCCTGAGGCCGTTAAGCAGCCATAGAGTCTCATTCACTGGGAGCGCTGTTAGTCTCTGACTGTAGTCTGTGCGCATGCTCCCAAATTCCAATCTATATTTGCTGTATTAACAATCTGCAATCGTTATTAACAAGGTAGAATGAGGTGTTGCCAAAGAGGGCTGGGGGGAAAAGGGAAAACAAGACTAGGCTTATCTGAAATGGGATAGGTTCTCCTGTTTGAGCGGGGGACTCGACTAGAAGACCTCTAAGGTCCCTTTCAACTCTATTGTATTCTAAAATTTGGATTTATTTATTTTTTTGGACATGGTATATGCAATCATTTAAAAAATGAATAGCTGCAGGAATAGCTGAGAAGCCTCACTAAGACAGGACAATGCTAATACATGAATAAAAAACAGCTATTGTGCGTGCTGTAAAATTTCACAAGTGTTGCAGGCTCCCATGCAACATCCTTTGTGACCATCCTAGCTGGTTTCTAACAAAATAACTCAACTGGAAAAACTGAACTGGCTTAAAGACTGTTACATCCTCTAACCCTCACTCCTTTAATCTCAAAACTATCCACTATTGACCTCACCCCATTCCTAAGAGGTCTGTAAGGGGGCATGCATAAGTGCACAATCGTGCCCATCATCCCTGTCCTATTGTCCCCATTTATTCATACCTATTTCCCATATTCTTACTCATGTTTATACTTATACCCATTATCTTGGAAGCTACTGACAAATGAAATAAATAAAATAAAGACTGTGGGTGATCGACTTAACTTTACCCCCAAAGTTCATAAAATTGGGCAGAAGCCATTTAGCAACCATCCTGCTCAACCACAGATCCAATTCCAATTGCTGTCACAATCTTCAGAGGAAGCAAAGGCAGCTGCCTTTTTGCATTTCAAATTTCATGTTGTGCTCGGGCCAAGTGCTAAAGATATCCTTATCTGGTCGCTTCCTCAGCAAAGGGGGAAGACATTGCAATGTGATACTCATTCAACTAGTTGTAGGTATACTGGGAAAAGTCCCTCAGAAAACTGGGATAGTCAATATGCAAATAATGCCAGATTGTTGGGAATCTGCTCCTGCTTTGAAAAGACGGCTAGTTGGAATCTGGATGCAGCAGTTTTGCATGAAGCAGAATGCTACTTGAACAAAATATTCTTGAGCAGAGCTGTCAAAATTTTCACATGACACTATGAGTTTGACACCTGTTCTTTAAGAAGGGGTATCAAGGATGCTTACCTGGCTTTAACTGTAGGTTACCATGAAGGCTTGTGGAGTGCGGCAGCATAAAAACATAATAAAGCTCTTACATGTAAGCAGTGTTAAAGTTTGAGGAATCTGCTACATTAGAAGCAATCCGTCTCTTCCTAACACTGTGCTTCAAGATGGAGTCTTTTGGGAGGCCAACCCAGACTAGCTTCTCCTCAGATTTAGGAGACACCACATGAAACTCTTGATCAAATACTTCTCACCTGAACAATTTTCAATTCTTGATGACTTTTTATGTTTCTCTTGAAATACATGTTTTTGTCTTGGATCCATCCCATCTTTCATGAACTGGGTTTCCATTCCTGGATGCCATATCACTTGCCATCTGCAGGTTATGTCAGTTGGTGCTCCATTTAAAACCCAAGAAATACTTAGACTCTTTTGATTAGACAAAAGATATCTTTTACTGGAAATGAAGTGGTAGCAACGCAAATGGTATGTCTGTGGAACTGGTTGGAGTTCCCAACCAGGTCCGCTGTTTGAGCGGGAGCACCAGCCGCTCCCATTGGCTGGCTCCGTTTGACAGTCGGCTATAAAAGCCGGCTGTTGAGCAGAGCCAGCCCTGTTGTCGCCAGCTAGTCTGCCAGTTAGCAGACGCGACAACCCTTTATTCTCTGCAATAAAGCCTTGTTCGTTGTACGCTCTGGTTCCTGCCTCTTCCTTACCATCGCTCCACAACAGCAAAGATTCTGAATCTGAGGAAATAGGCGCGTAAATCACATATACAAAGTGATGGAAATGTTCCCACCCCCAATAGTTCAAATGATTCTTCCAATTAAAAGTTGTGAAGAACATCATGTGGACATCTTCAGGTGGTGATGAAGTTTCTGTCCATTGACCTTGGCATACTTTGATAAAGGTTTGCAGCTGTGCAGAGAAGAGAAAGCTAAGCAAGGAATAGAAACCTAAGCAAGAATGCACTCTCCCCCCTCCTCATTTTATACAATGCTAGTTTACACCACCTGCAGCTTGCTTCCCAACTTGTCCCCCCTCCTCCCCCCGGTTACTTATGGCAGCCGAAAGATGCAAAGCAATAGTAGAAGATCTTGAAGGCTGACAGGTTATAACTAAAAATTTTCTATTTATTGGGACTGGAAAGGTAAACTGAAACTCCAAATTAGAGAACTGCTGAGGTACTACAACCAGTCATCTTTCATCATAAGCTACTTTTCCAATTAGTGAAAACTGACACTGGACCAATCAGTAATGATTCAAACTCTTCTTAATCTGAGAATCTCTGCTTTGGATGGCATCCTTAAATATTTACGGGGCTGAACTTCAACCCAAAGTCGGGATGCAGACATAGCTCCATAATTAAGTAGAGAATATTATTTGAGAAGAAAAGGTTTCATGTTCACTGTAACTCTGGAGCACCCCTGGTATTTCTTTCTTGCCTGTGTTAAAAGTGCATTTAAGAAAGAAAGAATGAAAGTTATAAGACTGGCATTTTATGAAACTATTTTTAAAGCAAGAAAAAAAACCAAAAGGTTGCTTTTTTATTCAGTACATTACATAGTGACAGCAAAGCCAAGGTTGCCTTAGAACCAACCTGGTGTTTTATTCATCCCAAGAGTGAGGCAGATAGACCTTGTACTGAGCAGTCTGTACAACAGGGATAGCATGAATGTTATGCAAGTTGGTTTCTCTTCCTCACTGCCTTGTTCAGCAACTGTTCAAATAACAACACTGAAAAAGTATATTTACAATCAGTTCTCAAACATAGGCCCATTACATCATTTTTGTGGTCAATGCAGCCAGCTTCAAGCCAGCTTCTGACAAGCAGAGTCCATTGCAAGTCATGGTTATGTGTTCTGCTTATCATGCAGTTATTTGCTTCACCACTACTGTGGAATTACATCACCAGTAATGTCCATGCCTGACACTTCACGTAGTGATGTTGTCATTTAGCAATGAGGTTGTCAGTCATAATTCCGACAATTGCGGGCTACCTGTGGTCTTTTTGTCACACAATTCATTTAGGATATTTTTGGTTTTGCAAGTTTCTCACAAACTAATTTTACTATATCCTTAAGGTGACTGATGTTGAGTAAAATCCTTTCCACACACCATATACTTATGATTTCTTATCAGTGCAGATCTTCTTGTGGGAACTAAGGTCACTGCTGGTTGTGAAGTTCTTTCACACTCCATGCAATTATACGGATTCTCTTTGGACTGGATGCTTTTGTGGGAAAGAATAATTCTGCCATTCTGGAATTTCTACATATATATAGTTTTGCTTCTGTGTGAAATATCAAAAGTAGATTGGTGCTAGTACTATAGCCCTTTTCGCAGTCTATACAGTTATAGGATTTTATAATAGGATTGTATGAAATTTCTAGTAATCCAGAAATCCTTTCCAGTCTACCTTACCTGATTTTTCCTCCGAGTGAATCTTTCTATGTTTCTTAAATGCATTACTTTGTATAAAGCTTTTTCCACATTCACTGCATTTATATGGTTTCTCCCCTGTGTGGATTCTTTTATGGGAAGTCAGGGAACTTGAATTAATAAAGCACTTTTCACACTCCGTACATTTGTGTCGTTTTTCCCCAGTGTGGATTCTTTTATGGGGGAAAAGGGAACTTGAATTAGAGAAGCATTTTCCAAATTCATTGCATTTGTATATCCCCACTGTGTGGATCCACCTGTGTTGATAAAGCATACTACTGGTTATTAAACTTTTTCTGCACTCCATACATTTATATGGTTTCTCCTCGGTGTGGAACCTTTTATGGGAAGTCGGAAAACTGAAAACTGAAACAGAAATGTGAATCCCACACCTGGTTTGGTGTTTATAGAAGAATATAAAACTTGTCAGCCCTGCCCCAACCAGGTTCTCCAAGCAAGCAAGACCCTCGACTCCATTCATGTCAAAAGGTATACTTTACTAAAAGCCAAGTGGAATACAGAATAGCAAAAGTCAGAACTTAAGCTCACGCACCAAAGCTTTCCCAATAACTTTTCCCCCTTTGTCCCTTCCCATTGCTGGTCATTCACCCCCACCCCTCCACGTCTAACCATATTCAAATAAATTGTTTTCAAAATGGCGACTTTCTAGCCGCAGCAGCCTTCTCCCAGGGCAACAGCCTTGAAGTTTTTCACCGCAAGGCACTTTAACTGAGAGGCACATTCTTTT